CTCATTTACTCAGTCTTCACGGTGGTGTCTAGCACTCTAATCTCTAAGGCGTGGCTTGAATTGTCAGGGTCATCTTCCAAGGATATAGCGAGGAAGTGGAAAGAACAAGGCGTGATAATTCCAGGACACAGGAGCTCCAACACCAGAAAGGAGCTGGACCGATACATTCCAGTGGCAGCAGCGCTTGGAGGGTTTGGCATTGGTGTTGTTTCCGTGGCTGCAAATACGATGGGAATGATTGGCTCTGGAACTGGACTCTTTCTAGCAATCACCACCATCTGTGAAATCCAAAAGACGATACAAAAGGAAGGAATTTAAGCAAGTTCAAATATGAAAATGGTAGCGGAAAATTTCTGAATGGAGATTCTTCTTTATAGGAAGATCATTTCATCATTTCTTCCTCCTCTTTTCTTCTTACAGCTTGCCCTTCTGTAGATGCTAGGAAATCTACAGCAGTAGCAACAGAATCTAAGAACTGGAACTGAGGCGGGGATGAAGGAGAAGCTCCAGGATCCATGATCGAGGAAGCAAAGCCCCCCCCACCCCCCCCAACTGTACGTAAGCGATCTACGCGGTACTGCCGGCTGCCCTTGCTGACTTACCTGGTACGTTCATTCCGTCGATATGGCAACTCGCCCTTTTATGGTACAAAGCTCTTGGCGGCCGAGCCAACGCCGAGCCGTGATCTCCAGGCCGGTTGAAATAACGAGATACAGCTCGGTCAAGAGAAAGTTCGGGTAAGCACAAGAAGTCAGAAGAAAAGGGGGCAAAAGTCTTTTGCAAAGCGGCCTTCCGTATCAAGATTCGAAGAAGAATCTCCTTCTCGTCAAAGAATTCCTGGTTCTCTCCTGAGTCACTGTCAGAAAGTTGCAACCTCTCGTGAATCGCCAAAAGTGGCTGCTCCGACGTACTACTGGCATGTTAAATCCCACCAGCGTTCCCCAGTGAGCACAAGCAGGAGGACATAAGCGATTCGACGCACTAGATTTTGAGAAAATATGTATTTTTATATGCATGGTAGGCATACAAAAAGTGACTTGGTAATTTGGACCGTTGAATAAGAAATTAATTGAGATATTTTGAGCAAAGGATTTATAAGGTTTCAAACTTATAAAAATCATCTATTGGTGAAATTATAAATCCTAGCTTCCTGTTTTGGTTTTTTTTTTATCTAATGCTTAGTGAATGTTAATAAACAGTAAACACTAACAGGTTTATATTACTTCTAAGTGATAATAATTTGCTATACATTACATGCAGCACCATTGCCTCTGAAGCCTTGGCGGCAACTAGTCAGAAGGAAAATAGCCACTCTCTTCCTGGCTGGACCAAGCCATTGCTGTTGGAGGAATGAAATTAAACCTATGTTTTATCCACCCATCACAGCCCTCTAACTTTTGGTTTGTTTAATAATAGTGTTATTAATCTAATTGATCAAATGGAAGTTTATAATTATAAACATGTTTATATTTTATAGATACAAGAATAATTTAAGTGGTAAAATAAACTAGAATATGCTACTAATTTGCTGCATGTTGCATGCAGCAATGTTTGATTTACTTAATAGTAATGTTATTTTTATTTATTAATTTAATTGATAAAATGGAAGTTTATACTTATAAACATGTTTATACTTTATAAACCATTAATCAACCATTAGATGGTAGAATAAACTAGAATATACTTTAGGAAAGTTTATAAATTATAAACACGTTTGTAAATTATAAATATAGGATTAATCTAAATGAATAACAACCGTTAGATGATAGAATATCCTAGAATATTGAAGCATATTTTAGGTATATCCTCGGTTTGCTTAAGAAAATCAAAAATTGTATAAGAAAGTTTATGAATTATAAATACATAATCAATTTAAATAAATAACAACTGTTTGATGGTAGAATATCTTCGAATATTCAAGGATATTCTATATATATCCCTACAAGTTTGTTTAAAATTTCAACAGTTTAGTGATAATGTTTTTCCGAGTCTAATCGATTTGCCACCAGGTCTTGATCGCAGCTGCTCCAGTTTAGGCCACTCTTTGCAACTGCTGGATCCTGCTCAGGAGAGTTACTTGATCCCGCTCATGCCAGGACAGAAAGGTCTTCCAGCTGAGATGTGCATGTCTTGGGGAGCTCATATAGTACATGGAAGACATCCTTCACCTACACAGTGTACACAGCTGCCGACTCTTGCAAATTGTATTGTATAACTTAACGTCTTTTTATTTATTCTTTTTGAAAACACAAGATTGTTAAATACAAACCACACACAACCATGGAAAATATACATAGAGATGCATGTTATTGTAGAGACGTAATGCAATGCAAATCACAAACAACAAACACACAATCATGTCTGGCTCATTCTTCGTCATAAAGAAGGATGTTTGAATCGATCGCAATGCTGTTCTGACCCTGGTCCCATATCGGAATCATGTTGTCAGCACCACAGTTCGCCTCTTTGGATTTGGTGTTGCAGCGGCACTGAGGAAACTTGTACTCACACGACCTGTTAGGCAGCACATTACGGTCGAGGTTATCCTTCTGCCGCTGAACCTGAGCCCGGCCATCCGGTCCCAGAGCGTTGATGCACGAGTTACCGTAGCAGTAGCATCCAGATACACCACTAAGGTTGCAATCCTTGTCAAGCCTGCAGCCCTGGCACTGGCGAACGCACTGATACTTGCCATTGCTGAGCCTCCGAAACTGCTGCAAGACAGTCGCGGGTGTGTTGAGCCGCTCCAGGGGACACTTGAAGGCGAGGAAGCCTTCATAGTAAGCCTGGAGCGCCGTCGCCACTCTCCACTCCTTGGACGCGGACGACATGTACTGAGACAAGACGGGCGCCCACACTGGAACGAAGCCATAGCGTACTGCTTCCTTGCTCGTGGCTCCCTCCTCGATGAACTTCCGGATGAGATCGTTGGTTATGCTACCCGAGAGCAGCTGCGAGACGGTGGCGGAGGATCCACCCCGGGCCTCTCGAGTGTCTTGCGTGTCGATCCTCTCCGCGGCGCGCATCTCCTCAAGAGTGATCCCCGCGCAGCCCTCCACGTTGGGGAGGACTCCCTTGAGGCCGGTGAGCTTGGCACAGGCTTTGGCCTGCATTTGGCGCTGGGTGAACGTCGCCGTGGAGGAGGCCACGGTCCACTGGCGCAGCCATGAGCCGTGGAACGTCTCGGACACGTAGTGTGTTCCCCACTTGTTCAAGAAGGATCGGTATGGCCCCCAAGCGATGTCGGAGCTGGGTGGCTCGGGAAGGTTGCGCAAGTCACTGAGGAAATCAGAGTTGAGTGGGAGGGTTTGGATGGCCCTTGCATGGTTCCGGAGGTAGATCCTCTGGTTGTATGACTCCACAAACACGGAGGTGGTCCTGATGCTTGTCTTGCTCCCCGCGATCTTGTTGAACGATGCCTCGATGTTAAGCTGCAGAACTTTTATAGGAACGTTCATCCCAAACGTAACTCCAAACTGTGATCACAATACAAACCACCGATCAGATTAGGAACTGGTAGTGTTGCATAGCTTACTGATCTGTAGAGCTCTTCGTTGTTACTAGTGTGGGCATGGTTGTTTGTGACAGAGGTATATTTCTCGGACAGCAAGAAGTCGTTAGCTCTCTCGTTGAAAATAGGCCTCAGGGTCCTCAACGGAGATCCCAGATCCGTGGTGGGAAGATAAACTCCATAACCAAAATGCACGTTTTGGGCAGCGACTACACACACAAAACAGAGATTTATATGACATCAAAGATGCACTCAAAGGATGATGGATGATACCTGTAGAAGCATAGAGAACAAAAAGAACAAAGAAGAAAATTCCTGAAGAAGCCATTCTTGTGTGCTGCTTGAAGATTTTACCCTGGGTTTTATAGCAGCCCACGATTTCAAGTTGCCATATCTTGTTTACAGACATAAGAAAAACGTGTGGTACGATGTGATACCAATGGGTCAGTGCTCAGTTTCATAACATATACTCATCTCAGGATAAGGATGCCGTGCCAATCCGTCGAGTGCAAAAGAGTTGTCTTTGAATAGTTTGATTTGTCCGTTATGAAGCTTTCAGACAAGGGTGCTTAAAAGCCATCCAATTTGTGGAACAGTGTTTGAGTTATAAAGTGTTTAAAAAAAGCTTCTTGCAACAATACAGATCTTTATTGAAAATAATTTGCTATGCAGTGCATGTAGCAATGTTTAGTTTGTTTAATAGTAGTGTTATTTCTACTTATTAATTTAATTTATCAAATAAAAGTTTATAATTATAAACATGTTTATAATTTATAAATACGATAAATCTCATATCAGGTTGAATAAAAAAGAATATACTAGAAAGTGTTTAAGCAAGTTTATAAATTATAAACATGTTTGTAAATTATAAATACAAGATTAATCTAAATAAATAACGACCGTTAGATGGTAGAATATCTTTGAATATCCAAGAATATTCTAAGTATATTCATTACCATCCTCTTTGGTTAAGCAAACCATAAAAAAGAAAAAATGCAAACATAATAATAATAATCCCGAAATTCTTTCTTAGAGATGCTCGAACTCTCGACCTCAAACCTCAGGATTTCTAACGAGCTAAGTGTTGACCAATTGCGCCACCATCTCTTACATCTTATTCAATCAGTAAACTCTCTTAATGAATGATCGACAAAGCACATTTTCATTGTTTACAGACATAAGAAAGACGTGTGGTACGTTGTGTCAAAACTTATACCAACTCATTTACTTCTTTGAAAACAAGACCGCGAACCGACGTTGTTTAATGTGTTTTAAAACAAACGTGTGGTACGTTGTCAGAAATCTTCGTGTCGGACCACTTCATGACGGAGCCCTAAACCAGAACAGGGGTGGTGGAAAAGTGCTACGTCACACCCGTATATGTGTTACAAACAAGCTTGCGATATCTTTATTGAAATAAGAAAATGAAAAAAGGTTGGGATGAGAACTCTCGAAATCAGTAAACTCTCTTAATGATCGCCGTAGCTTATTGCCGCATTGATGTCCAAAACCCTCTTGAGAGAGAGAGAGGGAGAGGTCATCTTGAGATGAGCGACTTGTGGGTCTTTCTCTCCAATGGATCGGTTCGTCAGTGCCCAGGTAAGAAGAAACGAAGCTGTGATGATTCATGTTTTTCGCCTCCAGGCTCCTTGTCTCTCGGTAGGAGGGCCTCCCTCTCAAGCGGGAGTGACTGGAAGTGCTACTGCTCTTAGCAAAGTCTTGGTAAGTCTTGTTGTATCCCTCTCGTGTTAAAAATGTTTTTCATTCTTTGCAAGATTTCTGAGTTTTTTCTTCACCCCTTCGCAGGGATTAGTTCGTGAGCTTGTTCTTGCTGCTGTATTTGGTGTTGGTCCTGTCGTAGATGCGTTCGGGTATGCATCGAGTTCATGGTGCTCTTCGCTAAGTTCGAAAGTTTGTAGATATGCGTCCCTTGTACCAGGATTTTTTCTGATAATCCTTGGAGGTATACAGTTTCTAGCTGAAGCATCGAGCAAAACTCACCGTTAATTCTTACAGGAATCAATGGACCAATCCACATAACAATGGTATCGGCCTTAAGGTATGTTTCGAGTTTCTTTAAGTCATTTTTTTCATCCTCTTTTAGCAAGATCTCAAATGAAAACCGGTTTTTTTCCCCTACGTTTACACCATCCTCTTTTTTATCAGATATCTTTGAGCCTTGGCATTCTCATGTACACATTAGCGGCTTTTCTTATTGATGCAATCGCACCAGGGTAAGTTTTCGGCATTCCTTCTGTCGTAGAATCTCAAAAGCTTTCCAAACAGATTGTTATTGAAAACAAGCGGTGGATTGATCACGAGAAGCATGGCTATACTTCAGGTAGCTTCAGAAGAAGAAAAACTCTCAAGTTGCAAAAACCATGCTCTTGATCCAGCTGAGAATCATGGCGCCTTGTGTAACACTCGCGTGCTTGATGGGAATCGGCTGTGGAAGTTTTGACCGAGCTTTCACGTCCAGTTTGTAGCCAAACTTTGGAATGGGTTTTCATGTGCAGTGTCTCGGGAAGATACGGGATTGCATCCTTGAGTCCTGCTCTATCAAGCATATCGATCATTCTCGCGGTAAGTTTTGGTTACAAGACAAAAGATTCGTGTGTTCTTGACTGTGTTCTTGGCTCCATGCAGGCTGCAATTCATTGCAAGCTTTGCAATCCTCATTGCCTTGAGCTTTAAAGTCGATTCATACAAAGTGGTGCTTGACAGGAGGTGTTTTGCTCGTTTTGGCCTCGACAGTGGGAGCTTTGGCTCAATGGCTTTTGCAGGTTAAGTAACTCTTTCGATACTTCTCGCGTTTAAGTTTTTCTTTTGGATCAATCAGATCTTTGCTCAAGATGATCGAGGCATCAAACTTTGCATGCTTTTAATGACCGCTCTCGCGATCCCTCTCGCTAAACCGATCGTCCGAGCTCTCGTCCAGTGCTACACATTTGGCGACTCCGCCGCTCAAGCCGTATCATCGCTCGTCAAACACTGTAAGTTCTCCTTTTTTCTCGTTTCGATCGCTGGTTTTCATCCTTTCTTCTTCGATCGATCTTAGATGCGATGGGCTCTACTTGCGACCTCCTTGAACGTATTTTCTACGCTCTTGGCGATCTCGATTTTACGTGAACTTGGCTGCCATCTAACGCTCTCTTGGACTGGCTGCTCGTTGGAAAACTTTGTGGAAACTCTCTCTCTCTCTCTCTCTCTCGTGCTCCAGGTAATGGCCACTTCAATGGCACCGCTACGTAAAATTCTAGATGGGCCTGACAGCCAAAGCTTTTGGAGAAGCTCACAACACCGGCTCCTCAGATGATCAAACTTCCGGTTGCTTCCTTTTGTTGCAGCTTTTAGACGACGGTGCGACCTTGTCAGGGATCCCAAAATTTAGCGCATGACTGTTGCGGAGTTTTTGGAACGGAGTGGAGGCTCCACGCTTGTTGATGTAAGCTGGTGCCCCAGAAGGAGGCTTTCTTCAAGGTACTTAATTCTTCTCACCCAAAAATTGTGTAGATTTTCTTCTTTTTCATGTTGCAGACTGTCGGAAATATGTATCAACACAGCTGTCCGAGGAACTTAGCTGGATCAAGGTTGAAAAGGAGTTGCTTCATCTGCGAGAGATCCAAGCAGGAGGTAAATCGAAGCTGGTTAAGGCAGACTTTCCTTTTGTGATTCAGTTTAAAACACTTGACTTGAGAGCAGGACTGACTTGAAAGATGGCTTACCAGCCGGGACCTGCAAATACATGCTGCGCAGGTGCAAACTTTGTCATCGAGCAGGATGAAATGACAAGCTTCACAAGCATGACGGTAGTCTCCTCATTTCGTGAGTGCAAATGCTTTTCTTTTTGTTGTTCTCCCCACACAAGGCCCGATTTCAAGCTAAAATCCCAATTGCGAGCAAGCAATTCTAATCTTAGCCTTGATCGTGTCACAATAGTCTCCTACACATAGGAAATCCCACCATGATCGCCAATATTCTCCTCTTTAGAACATGATGCCAAGCTAAATCGATGGATTCCTGGACGGCATGATAGACAGGACCAAGAAGAGCATGACCCGTGCGTGCACCTAGAGGAAGAGGTCAATGGATCCTTCAATCTGGTCGGAGCTCATCAACTCCCGATCCCCATGCTCTGCCGCTTCGGGTCCTTCTCGAATGATTGGTATAGCGCGCGACCATGTCGTAAGAGAGCTGCTTGGCTCATGTACAGCGCTGAAAAAACAAAAACCAAGTGTAAAGAGCTTAGAAAACGTACAGTTGAGACCGCACGGCAATGACTTGTCAAGGCGTTGTCAAAACTCCTTCGAAGGTAGCACCTTGTCCAAGTACGTGTGTTCACTGAGAAACAAACCAGAGCTCAGTTAGCTTCCAAAGCAGTCACACGAACCTGGTCAAGTAGCAAATCGTAGCCGCTCCATTTTAGGCCACTCTTTGCAACTGCTGGATCCCGCTCAGGAGAGTTACTTGATCCCAGGTCTTCCAGCTGAGGTGTGCATGTCTTGGGGAGCTCATATAATACATGGAAGACATCCTTCACCTACACAGTGTACACAGCTGCCGATATTGTATAACTTAACGTCTTTTTATTTATTCTTTTTGAAAACACAGGACTGTTAAATACAAACCACACACAACCACATAGAGATGCATGTTATTGTAGAGACGTAATGCAATGCAAATCACAAACAACAAACTCACAATCATGTCTGGCTCATTCTTCGTCATAAAGAAGGATGTTTGAATCGATCGCAATGCTGTTCTGACCCTGGTCCCATATCGGAATCATGTTGTCAGCACCACAGTTCGGCTCTTTGGATTTGGTGTTGCAGCGGCACTGAGGAAAGTTGTACTCACACGACCTGTTAGGCAGCACATTACGGTCGAGGTTATCCTTCTTCGGCTGAACCTGAGCCCGGCCATCCGGTCCCAGAGCGTTGATGCACGAGTTACCGTAGCAATAGCATCCAGATGCACCACTAAGGTTGCAATCCTTGTCAAGCCTGCAGCCCTGGCACTGGCGAACGCACTGATACTTGCCATTGCTGTGCCTTCGAAACTGCTGCATGACAGTCGCGGGTGTGTTGAGCCGCTCCAGGGGACACTTGAAGGCGAGGAAGCCTTCATAGTAAGCCTGGAGCGCCGTCGCCACTCTCCACTCCTTGGACGCGGACGACATGTACTGAGACAAGACGGGCACCCACACTGGAACGAAGCCGTAGCGTACTGCTTCCTTGCTCGTGGCTCCCTCCTCGATGAACTTCCGGATGAGATCGTTGGTTATGTTACCCGAGAGCAGCTGCGAGACGGTGGCGGAGGATCCACCCCGGGCCTCTCGAGTGTCTTGCGTGTCGATCCTCTCCGCGGCGCGCATGTCGTCAAGAGTGATCCCCGCGCAGCCCTCCAAGTTGGGGAGGACTCCCTTGAGGCCGGTGAGCTTGGCACAGGCTTTGGCCTGCATTTGGCGCTGGGTGAACGTCGCCGTGGAGGAGGCCACGGTCCACTGGCGCAGCCATGAGCCGTGGAACGTCTCGGACACGTAGTGTGTTCCCCACTTGTTCAAGAAGGATCGGTATGGCCCCCAAGCGCTGTCGGAGTTGGGTGGCTCGGGAAGTTTGCGCAAGTCACTGAGGAAATCAGAGTTGAGTGGGAGGGTTTGGACGGTCCTTGCATGGTTCCGGAGGTAGATCCTCTGGTTGTATGACTCCACAAACACGGAGGTGGTCTTGACGCTTGTCTTGCTCCCCGTGATCTTGTTGAACGATGCCTCGATGTTAAGCTGCAGAACTTTTATAGGAACGTTCATCGCAAACGTAACTCCAAACTGTGATCACAATGCAAACCACCGATCAGATTAGGAACTGGTACCGTTGCATAGCTTACTGATCTGTAGAGCTCTTCGTTGTTACTAGTGTGGGCATGGTTGTTTGTCACAGAGGTATATTTCTCGGTCAGCAAGAAGTCGTTAGCTCTCTCGTTGAAAATAGGCCTCAGGGTCCTCAACGGAGATCCCAGATCCGTGGTGGGAAGATAAACTCCATAACCAAAATGCACGTTTTGGGCAGCGACTACACACACAAAACAGAGATTTATATGACATCAAAGATGCACTCAAAGGACGATGGATGATACCTGTAGAAGCATAGAGAACAAAAAGAACAAAGAAGAAAATTCCTGAAGAAGCCATTCTTGTGTGCTGCTTGAAGATTTTACCCTGGGTTTTATAGCAGCCCACAATTTCATATGATGTTTCTGTTACTTCTGAAATAATATTCCAGAGCAGACATAAGAAAAACGTGTGGTACAATGTGGTACCAATGGGTCAGAAACTACATGTGCTCATACTGGCGCAAGCCAGCTCAGGATAAGGATGCCATGCCAATCCGTGGAGTGCAAAAGAGTTGTCTTTGAATAGTTTGATTTGTCCGTTATGAAGCTTTCAGCCAAGGGTGCTAAAAAGCCATCCAGTCTGTGGAACAGTGTCTGAGTTATAAAGTGTTACAAACAAGCTTCCTGCAACAACACAGACCTTTATTGAAAATAATTTGTTATGCAATGCATGTAGCAATGTTTAGTTTGTTTAATAGTAGTGTTATGTTTACTTATTAATTTAATTGATCAAATAAAAGTTTATAATTAAAAACATGTTTATAATTTATAAATACAAGATTTATCGATGGTAGAATAAAAAAGAATATACTAGAAAGTGTTTAAGCAAGTTTATAAATTATAAACATGTTTGTAAATTATAAATACAAGATTAATCTGAATAAATAACGACCATTAGATGGTAGAATATCTTTGAATATCCAAACATATTCTAAATATACGGTTAAGCAAACCAAAAAAAGAACAAATGTAAAAATAATAATAATAATCCCGAAATTCTTTCTTAGAGATGCTCGAACTCTCGACCTCAGACCTGAGGATTTCTAAAGAGCTAAGTGTTGACCAACTGCGCCACCATCTCTTACATCTTATTCAATCAGTAAACTCTCTTAATGAATGATCGACAAAGCACATTTTCATTGTTTACAGACATAAGAAAGACGTGTGGTACGTTGTGTCAGAACTTATACCAACCCATTTACTTCTTTGAAAACAAGACCGCGAACCGACGTTGTTTAATGTGTTTTAAAACAAACGTGTACGTTGTCAGAAATCTTCGTGTCGCATGATGGAGCCCTAAACCAGAACAGTGGAAAAGTGCTAACATGAGTCACAGCCGTATATGTGTTACAAACAAGCTTGCGATATCTTTATTGAAATAAGAAAATGAAAAAAGGTCTCGAGTAAGAATGGGATGAGAACTCTCGAAATCAGTAAACTCTCTTAATGATGGACATAGCTTATTGCCGCATTGATGTCCAAAACCCTCTTGAGAGAGAGAGAGAGAGAGAGAGGTCGGTCATCTTGAGGTGAACGACTTGTGGGTCTTTCTCTCGAATGGATCGGTTCGTCAGTGCCCAGGTAAGAAGAAACGAAGCTGTGATGATTCATGTTTTTCGCCTCCAGGCTCCTTGTCTCTCGGTAGGAGGGCCTCCCTCTCAAGTGGGCTTCTAGTTTCCGGCAAACTAAGTGCTCAGGTATGCTCTCGCAATACGTCTCAACGAGAATGACTCCAAAGGTTTTTCTTCTTTCTCTTTGTCGTTTCTTCTCAACATTATTTTCTTCTCAGAAGGCGGTGGTAACTTTTTGAAGCTAGCGGGAGTGACTGGAAGTGCTACTGCTCTTAGCAAAGTCTTGGTAAGTCTTGTTGTATCCCTCTCGTGTTAAAAATGTTTTTCATTCTTTGCAAGATTTCTGAATTTTTTCTTCACCCCTTCGCAGGGATTAGTTCGTGAGCTTGTTCTTGCTGCTGTATTTGGTGTTGGTCCTGTCGTAGATGCGTTCGGGTATGCATCGAGTTCATGGTGCTCTTCGCTAAGTTCGAAAGTTTGTAGATATGCGTCCATTGTACCAGGATTTTTTCTGATAATCCTTGGAGGTATACAGTTTCTAGCTGAAGCATCGAGCAAAACTCACCGTTAATTCTTACAGGAATCAATGGACCAATCCACATAACAATGGTATCGGCCTTAAGGTATGTTTCGAGTTTCTTTAAGTCATTTTTTTCATCCTCTTTTAGCAAGATCTCAAATGAAAACCGGTTTTTTTCCCCTACGTTTACACCATCCTCTCTTTTATCAGATATCTTTGAGCCTTGGCATTCTCATGTACACATTAGCGGCTTTTCTTATTGATGCAATCGCACCAGGGTAAGTTTTCGGCATTCCTTCTGTCGTAGAATCTCAAAAGCTTTCCAAACAGATTGTTATTGAAAACAAGCGGTGGATTGATCACGAGAAGCATGGCTATACTTCAGGTAGCTTCAGAAGAAGAAAAAACTCTCAAGTTGCAAAAACCATCCTCTTGATCCAGCTGAGAATCACGGCGCCTTGTGTAACACTCGCGTGCTTGATGGGAATCGGCTGTGGAAGTTTTGACCGAGCTTTCACGTCCAGTTTGTAGCCAAACTTTGGAATGGGTTTTCGTGTGCAGTGTCTCGGGAAGATACGGGATTGCATCCTTGAGTCCTGCTCTATCAAGCATATCGATCATTCTCGCTGTAAGTTTTGGTTACAAGACAAAAGATTCGTGTGTTCTTGACTGTGTTCTTGGCTCCATGCAGGCTGCAATTCATTGCAAGCTTTGCAATCCTCATTGCCTTGAGCTTTAAAGTCGATTCATACAAAGTGGTGCTTGACAGGAGGTGTTTTGCTCGTTTTGGCCTCGACAGTGGGAGCTTTGGCTCAATGGCTTTTGCAGGTTGAAGTAACTCTTTCGATACTTCTCGCGTTTAAGTTTTTCTTTTGGATCAATCAGATCTTTGCTCAAGATGATCGAGGCATCAAGCTTTGCATGCTTTTAATGACCGCTCTCGCGATCCCTCTCGCTAAACCGATCGTCCGAGCTCTCGTCCAGTGCTACACATTTGGCGACTCCGCCGCTCAAGCCGTATCATTGCTCGTCAAGCACTGTAAGTTCTCCTTTTTTCTCGTTTCGATCGCTGGTTTTCATCCTTTCTTCTTCGATCGATCTTAGATGCGATGGCCTCTACTTGCGACCTCCTTGAACGTATTTTCTACGCTCTTGGCGATCTCGATTTTACGTGAGCTTGGCTGCCATCTAACGCTCTCTTGGACTGGCTGCTCGTTGGAAAACTTTGTGGAAACTCTCTCTCTCTCTCTCTCTCTCTCTCTCTCTCGTGCTCCAGGTAATGGCCACTTCAATGGCACCGCTACGTAACATTCTAGATGGGCCTGACAGCCAAAGCTTTTGGAGAAGCTCACAACACCGGCTCCTCAGATGATCAAACTTCCGGTTGCTTCCTTTTGTTGCAGCTTTTAGACGACGGTGCGACCTTGTCAGGCATCCCAAAATTTAGCGCATGACTGTTGCGGAGTTTTCGGAACGGAGTGGAGGCTCCACGCTTGTTGATGTAAGCTGGTGCCCCAGAAGGAGGCTTTCTTCAAGGTGCTTAATTCTTCTCACCCAAAAATTGTGGGTCTTGGCATGGCTTTCGATTTTTCTTCTTTTTCATGTTGCAGACTGTCGGAAAAATGTATTAACACAGCTGTCCGAGGAACTTAGGCCTCGAGAACGCCTTCATTCCTCGATCGATGGTGGAGTTGAGTCTTCGTTGGTCGCAGGAAGGGAGTGAAAAAGCCGCGAGGAGGAATTCTTCATGGATCTTGCCGAGAAGGAGCGTAATTCTTCTCACACAGCGATGAATTCGTCTTGGGGAATGAGAACTCTTCATCGTTCCGGCGCCAAAATACAATGCCGTGAAAGAAATCTACCTCTAGCCAAGCTCCTCGGCTGGAAATCGACACACAGCATCGCAGTGCAATCCGGCATTGCGTGGCGAAGCATGGCTCCCGGCGACCTCGAGTGAAACAGTGACATTCCGGGGGATACGCGATCGATTGAGCAGCTGAGCGCCGCGAGAGCATCGATTCTCTCCTCGTCGCGCTGGAAGATCACCAAAACCCAACGACTAGAATTCTGCCACGTAGCACCACACGATGACGCCTCTAATAAGATTGTTTTTCTAAACAGCCGTCAGATCCTTTTCATCCGCGCCCTCCACTCTTTTACTGTTGGAGTTTCTCCAGCCGTCGGATCGAGCGTATCGTGGTCGTCCACTCCCGGCAGCTTATAAGCTCGTGAGCGGGGCATTTGTGCTTCTTCGCCGGCCAGCGATGGATGCCAGGGATGGGGATGGCGATGGCGCTCGCAGCGACGGTGAAGGCGAGGTATGTCCAATCTGTTCCAGCGCCATCGCGGACGTCCGCACGGACTGCGGCCACTGGTTTTGCAGCCAGTGCTTGGGGAAATGGGTGAAGAGGTCATGCGCCACCGCCAGGGCTCGATCGACTTGCCCGCTGTGCCGCCACGCGATCAAGGCGTTCGATTTCGATGGCGGCAGGAGCGATGGCGGCGATGGCGAGCTCGAGGCGTCCCGGCAGCGATTACGCGACTACCAGCAGGAAATATCCGAGTGTAAGCGCAATGGCAGCGATCCCCTCGACCCCGAGGACCCTGACGATCCCGACGACGATCCCGACGATCACGACGACGACCCCGACGATCCCGACGGCGATCCGGCTGTTCCGGAGGAAGAGGATTGCTGCCCGTGTCTGTTGATCATCAGCGTTCTCCTCCTCTGGCTGCTTTTGATGGGAATCGGATGCTTGAGCTAGAAAGGCAGGGACTTTGAGCTCGCTGGGCTCTTGGAAGAGAGCTCTCTGGCGCTACTTTGTTTCGAGCTCCTGGGGTTTTGGAGCTTCGATCGCTATGGAGGAAACCTCAAGGGCAGAGGGAAGCGATAGGACAATGTAAGTACTCTCTCTCTCTCTCTCTCTCTCTCTCTCTCTCTCTCTCTCTCTCTCTCATTTGATCGGCTATCTCACACTTCTTCTTTTCTTTTTGCCTCTTTCCCGCAGGATGTCCAAGAGTTCCGAGTAGAGAGTCCCAGGCCAGCAAGGAGAATATTCTTGTTTTTGTATTAACACTTTTTATTAAACTAAACTTATCTATCATGTTTGGGTTTAGGGTTTAACGGGCTAAAGTAATGGAAATTTAGGGTTCCAGGCTATGGCGAGGCTGAGCACTGGCGTTACCACGCGCCAGTACGCTGAAGGTATGCCGCGCATCTCCGATACTCCTCTCTCAGCTCAGATTCTGGATTAGGGACTGCCGCCGCTACAGCGCACGCGATTTCCATCCAGAGCGCGGAGGCTTCTTGATTGTCGAAATGCGGCAGCCTGTGCTGCTCAAGAGCAACGATTTCCGCTGGAATTTTCCCAAGGAAATCGTTGTGGCGTATCCAATTCATCCCTCGCAACATCTTCCAGGTGGAATTATGGAGTTCATGAATTTCTTTCCTTTGTAGCTCTGACAGTGGTGTGTTTCAATCAGCCAGGCGAACGAAATGCATTCTTACGGAGCCTGGAGTACTGTGGTTTGCGATCATCGGAATATGCAGGTAGATAGATACCTTTGAATGATTTCTAGAACTTGAGATCTAGACGATTGCATCGAAGAGTGTTCTTTGACAACATTTTCGTCTCTTATGGCAGGAAATATGTTCTACTAATTCTTCGTTTTCTCTTTTAACGCAGATCATGGTTTCATGCTTCGTGACCATCTCCCACCACGAAGAATATCTCCTGTGAAGGTTAGGATTTGCTTTGCTGCTACTTGCGTTCTTATGATTTCTCATGGCAGGAAATTATTCTTGTCAACCTGCTCAAAGTCATAAGCCCCGACTTGCCACTCGCATTCGCTCTATCCAGAGGGTGGACCACGAAGCAGAAACTCGCCAGTCGCAAACGTCCAGCAAAGATCTTGGAAGTTTCAGACTGTGAGCTGAAGAAGGCCGAGGAGCAGAAAAGCAGCGAGACTGTCGAAAACACAAAGCAGCATTCAGACATTAGCAAGCCACCGAATCTGTCAACATCTCTCGAAATCGGGCCAAGGCTAGGGAACTAACGACGCGGAGCAACAGCTGTACTGATGGATTCGGTGCACTGAAAGTGAAGCACCCTTCTTCTCAACTGGAAAAGCTAAAGTTCCTCGTGGATGAATCTCTTCAGGTATGCCGACTGTGATGCTACCTCTGCCGACGAAGACGATGACGAGGGGACATCTGATGGTGAGCTAACAAGCCTGGATCGAGAGCACGACGAAGACGGCATCAACACTGAGAGGCTTCTTGCTTCTAGAGTTTGCACCTTCACATCAAGTGGGAGCAGTTTTATGGAGCAGCACTGGTACTTCTGTTACACTTGCGACTTGACAGTGTCCAAGGGATGCTGCTCAGTATGTGCAAAGGTGTGTCATCGTGGTCACAAGGTGGTTTACTCGCGGTTGAGCAGGTTCTTTTGTGACTGTGGTGCTGGCGGTGTGATGCCAGTGCCTCAAGCCATACAGTATCACCGATATTGAGTCGAGCAAAAGGCTTTCACTTGAAACAGCACTCGAATTGAAAGACCCTCACAGACCAGCTCCAATGCACATCAAACAATCTCAGATGGAGAACGTACCTGCTAGAATCCCTGTGTTGGGATCAAAGGAAGATACATAAGAAGGTAAATTCCATTTCGTTTTCAAGCAGTCCACTTAAATGCCGTCGGCGAGCCTGATCAAGCAGAAGGTGGTATACTGTCTGGAGCATCACCGGTCGATGGATATTGCCGCGTGCGTCCGTGATGAGATGCAACTCCTTTCAGAAACATGCTCTCTCGGTGATGACTTTTGGGAGGCACGGCTGCGAGTCGCATTTCAGCTGCTGTTCCGGTCGATCCAGGTTGGAGCGCGACATCCAGTTATTGCCGAGCACATCATTCTTCCAGCTTTGAGAATTATTTCTCAGGCATGCACTCCTCCAAAGACTCAGACTACTGAACCTGGAGGGTTCTCGGCGAAGTCTGTTGGTTCTTTCGTGAAGACGGCTGCAATACTTCAGGAGACACCGGTCACCAGGCCCGCCAAGGAAAACGTAGAGAAAGACAAAGAGCTGGAGAACACACCGAAAGGCCAGGATTTACTACTAGTAAACTACCTGGAGTGGAAAAATGGTGCGACGTATGTTGAATTCGTGAGACGACTGACCATATCTCAGAACGTTAAACCCGCTCAAAAATCTCGAAAAGACTCGAGAAAATCTGGTACGTTAAACTCTTTCTTACGAATTTGTTTATTTATTTTTTATTTTTTCAGATGCCTTGGCTCTTAAATATATCCTACGATGGAAGCGAAAAGCTTGCAAAGTTTCTCTTACCGAGGACCTCAAGTGCTTTGAAGATAGTAGCTGGGTTCGTGAGCTTGTTCTAAGTGCATGCTCCCAGCCAATTCGTCAAGAGATGTGCGCTTTGATCGAGGTGCTGTGCTCTCAGAGCGTGGCTCGGAAATCCAAGTTCCTGGACCTGTTTATGAACCTGCTGCCTGCTTCGAGAACTGCCGGAGAGAGTGCAGCGGAATACTTTGATCTGCTGTTCAAAATGATCGAGGATGAAGATGCGCGCTTATATCTTACAGTTCGTGGCTTTCTGCGGACCGCTTGCAGTCTTATCAGTGAAGAGGTAGTCCGGGTAGAAGCCCAGGAGCGAAGCTTCCATACGGACATCTCACAGGGCTATACTCTACACAAACTTATCGAGCTACTGAACAAATTCCTGCAAGTTCCGAACGTTAGGATAAGGTAAGAGTTTGCGAATTGCTGTTACGGTGATATGAAATATTTTTTTTGCAGGTTTATGAAGGAAGACTTGCTGTCACAAATTTTGGAAGCTCTTTTGGTGATCAGAGGTCTGGTTGTTCAAAAGACGAAGCTGATAAGTGACTGTGGACGGTTACTACGCGAGCTTCTTGACAACCTGCTTCAGGAAAGCGACGACAACAAGAGACATTTCGTTCGTGCATGTATTTCCGGTCTTCAGACTCCTGATCACGACAGAAAAGATCGCAGATGTCTGGTAAGCGTTGTTTCCTTGTCTCCTTTTACTCAATGTTTTTCTTGTAGTTTATTCTTGAACAACTCTGCAATATCACAAACCAGAGCCTGCATATATGCTTGTTCTCAACAAAGCTCACACGCAAGAGGAGTTTATCCGTGGCTCGATGACGAAGAATCCATACTCGAGCTTAGAAGTTGGTCCACTTATGCGTGACGTGAAGAACAAAATCTGTCAACAGCTGGAGATGATTGCACTTTTCGAGGATGACTACGGCATGGAGCTTCTTCTTGCAGGAAGCATCATCTCTTTAGATCTCAGTGTTGCGCAGGCATATGAGCAGGTTTGGCGGAAGGCGCATTCGCGGTAGCGAATTCGGCAATAGGAACGAGCCTGTTAATGTCTGCTTCTGGAGTCTCCGGAAGAGAGTGTCCACCAATGACCGTGACATATCGACTCCAGGTATGCCGCGTGATCTTTCATGATTCTGTCTTTAAAAGTGCTGTGTGTGCAGGGACTGGACGGTGAGGCAACAGAACCAATGATCAAGGAGCTAGATGATGATAGAGAGGAAAGTCAGGATCCAGAAATCGAGTTTGCAATTACTGGAGTCATGCTGAAGGAGCTACTGAGTATGGTTGAGGTGCGTGCTCTTTTAGTCTTTTCTGATTCTAAAAGTTGGTTTTGTATCTCTCAGCATTTTACGGACGAAGAACTGAAGTCTGGTCAGGAACAAGTTGCGTTGGTTTTGAAGCTACTCATGTTTTGCTGCAAGATTCGGGGTAACCGGCAGGCTCTTCTTCAGCTTGGTGCCTTGGATGTTCTCCTGGAGACGGAACAAATCCTTCTCTTCAGCCGAATCTGTGGAGCGACTGCTACTCATCGTGGAGTGTCTGGTCACCGAGGCCAACGAAAGTGACGTTGGAGTGACCGAAGGCGCTCTGAGCACAACAAGAGCCGGCATTGCCAGAGGGGAACAAGCTGCCAAGGGTGTTCTAATGTTCCTGGAGCGACTCTCCAATCCCAGCAGCTACAAGCAGTCTAAGCAGCACAAGAACAGTGACACAGCCGCAAGAATACTACCGTATCTAACTTATGGAGAGGAAGCGGCAATGGAAGTATTGGTGGATCACTTCCTGCCTTACTTACTGGACTGGGGAGCTTTTGATAAGCTGCAAAAGGAGCACGGTGAGAATCCAAAGGACGCTTCACTGGGTCAGAAAGCAGCCTTTCATCAGTTCGCTGTTGAGAATTTTGTGAAGGTAACGGAGTCGATCAAGCAAAACGACAGTGGCGAGCTACTTAAAAATCTCATACTTGAGAAGAAGATACTGACTGGTAAGAACTTTTTGAGTTTTTATTCATATCAACTTTGCTCTTGTGTTTACCTTCTGCAGTTGCCATACGGTATCTGAAAGACGCATTTCCTTTTACTGAAAAGAAAACAGATCTTCGGTCGTCACCCGAGTGGACACGATCTTTGGAGCTTCCATCGGTTCCGATTATCCTGTCCATGATGAGAGGATTATCTATCGGTCACTGCAAGACTCAAGAATGTCTTGACGAGGAAGAAGTTCTTCCTCTGCTCCACGCACTGGAGGGCATGCCAGGAGAAAACGAGATTGGAGCAAGAGCAGAAAATTTGCTGGACACGCTATCCGATAAAGAGACTTGCGGCGAAGGATTCCTTGCCGAGACGATCCTGAATTTAAGGGAGACAACACGGGACGAGATGAGACGACGTGCTTTGCAACGAAGGGAAGAGTTACTACAGGTAATAGTCATCTTTCAAGTTGCGTTCCTTCGTTCTTAGACTTAGCTCACTTTTTTCCAGGGGCTGGGAATGCGCCGAGAGCTGAGATCTGATGGAGGTGAGCGCATTGTCATATCAAAGCCTCGAATTGAAGGCCTTGAAGACGTAGAAGAGGAAGAAGCGGGACTGGCATGCATGGTTTGTCGGGAAGGCTACAAACTGCGGATGCTGGGAGCTTACTCGTACAGCAAGCGTGTAAACATCGGTTCTGCGACTGTCCACGGTCGTCCCGAGTGGGTCTACACGACGGTCATTTCAACTTTATTCACGTCCAGTGCCACCAAGAGGAAAAGCGAGCCGACGCCTCCCTCAAGAATCCCAAAAAGGAGTGGGAAGGCGCAGCTATACGCAACAACGAGACGCTGTGTAACGATCTCTTTCCTCTCCGCGGCCCAGCAGTCGCGCTTGCGCAGTACTCTCGGTGCGTTGATACTTTCTGGGACAACTTAAACGCCCTCGGACGTGCGGATGGTAGCCGGCTGCGCTTGCTCACTTACGATATCGTCCTGGTACGTTTTTTCCTTTACCTTCTCATTTTACAACTTAACGCGAGCTTTCCTTCTGTAACAGATGCTGGGCCGCTTTGCAACGGGGGCCTCGTTCAGTGTCGATAGTAAAGGTGGTGGCAAGGAAAGTAACTCGAGGCTCTTGCCTTTCATGGTACAAATGGCCGGACATCTCTTGGACCAGCAGGGACCGAGCCAACGCCGTGTTCTCGCAAAATCCTTACAAACGTTCCTCCAGGCATCGCCTCCCGAGACTGACGCCACCACTACTCCTGTTTCGAGAACCATCTCCAGCCCCGGCACGCCGGCCAGATCGGACGAGACAGTGCAGTATATGATGGTCCAGTCGCTGCTGCTACAATCCCACGACGAGTGGCAACAGCACAGGAAAACGTTTCTCCAACGGGGTGCTGTCCATGCCTACATGCTACACAAACAGGGCTTCTCCTCTTTCTGCCTCGACATCGCCATCCCCAGCGGCCAGGAACCCGATAGAGTTTGCTCTGAGCTTCAGCCCGGCAGCGGATATCAAGAGAACAGCGAGCTCGGGAGGACTCCAAGCTACGTCAACTCCATCGCTCAGCAGCGAGCAGCTGTTTAGCATCCTCCAGCCGATGCTGGTGTTTATCGGGATCATCGATCAGCTCCAGAGATTTTTCAAGAGCCGGAGTGGTAGTGCCGTCGCCAACAGGAGTAGCAGCGGGAGTAGCAGCAGCGCCGGTGGAACTACCGACGATGGAACTGAGGCGTGGGAGGCCACCATGAAGGAGAAGCTCCGGGACGTGAGCGCCATGCTCGCCTTCTCCAAGGATTTGCTCGAGTGGCTGGAGGATATGCAGAGCTCGGCGGATCTGCAAGAGGCTCTGGACGTGATGGGGGCTCTGGGAGATGCTTTCTCGGCTGGTTTCTCGTCCTGCGACGAGTTTTTCAGGGACGCTCTCGGCCTGGCATCGCTTTGAAAATGATCTTCCTATATTCCCAGGGACCATGAAGAAAAAGAAAAATCTCCAGCTCAGAAAGTTTCCGGTAGCATTATATGATGCATTTCTTTTTTGTGGTGTATCTGAGAGGGGATTGTATATAAAAGAGCTATACGCTGTTCAATTTAATAAGGAAGTACGTAATTAACTTGTCTATTCCTTGCCAAATATTTTGAGACACCATTGCATGCTTTGAAACTTAGATTGTTTCCACTCTAATCTTTTTTGTTGCTGAAATTTTCTTGTGGTGATATGCTTGTGTGTACGAATTATGTCCTGGAAAAGGCATTTAGATATAAGGGTGGAAATTAAAAGATGTTTAATAAACTCCCTTTACCCAAAACTTTAAACACACATTTCATCCCTTAAGCTTGTAAAAAAGGACATATTTTAGGTTTTCACTTCTTGTCCTTTCAGCAGAGAAGCCAGCAGTGATGCCAAACAAAAGCAGCAAGGTGTACAAGGAGCTCCATCTTCTCCAGAACTACCCACTGTTTTGGTCTTCGTCCTCCCAGCAGAGTAGCCTCCAGTTTGGAAGCGTGGATGAGTTGAAATCGTACCTGAAACAGCAGCACCCAACCTGTATGAAGTGCAATCGCAATGAGTGCGGCAACTTCGACTATTTCAACAATGACAACATTGGCCAGCCAAGGTATTGCTGCAGTCAGTGCAAGAAAAAATTCACTTATGGCGGAAAAACAAGATCAACCTACATGAAGCGGCCAAGATCGAGCAGCACTGAGGAAGTTGGCATGGCCCATGAGAACAAGAAACTCAAGTGCGCTCCAGCTGAAGATGAGACGAAGAAGGGTTTGCTGGTCCACGAAAGTCAAGCGAAGCAGAATGGTCAACAGGCCGATAAAGCTGGGGTGGTGATCAGGGTGGAGGACAAGGAAGAGTTTGACATGGATGACCTGGAGGTGGCTAGAATCATGGCACTGGTCGAGGAGAATGAAGTCCCAAACGAGGAGGAACACATCCCTCTTGTGTTCCCTGAGGTGGCAGAAATTGTAGTGAGTGACAAAGAGATGACTGAAATTCTGTCGTCAAATCTTGAGGATGTGGATGATGAGGAGATGCTAGATCTCGTGCTTGAGGACGTTTTAGAGCAGCCAGAACACAAGGAGGGCTTGGCGGAAATTCAAATTGGCAATGGGGAAACGAGCCAAATCCTCCAAAAGAATGTGGACAATGAGGATCTTGTGCTTGAGGGGGATTCTCAGGAGGAGCAGGCAGAGCCAATGGAGGGGGACATTTATTTTGCTCTCGAGCTTGAACAGGATCTCCAGGCTGAAGAAGATAAGCGAAAGGAGGAATCCATGATGCTCTGGAAGATTGAATTGGAGAAAGCTAAATGGAGTGGTATTTTCAAAATTTATTAATAGTATTAGATCAAAGTAGCACTTTTTTGAATTAAAGATGATGTTCACAACAAGAATTTTCCACTGGTCCTGAAATCGCGAAGCAGTCTTATTGGCTTGGGCATGTATCAAAACCTTGTTTCCAGATCTAAGATGTGACAGCAGCAAGATCGGGTCCTTGGCCTTCTTTTCCGCAAGCCTCCAAACGCATTGGAGCCATGGTTACCATTTTCTTGCATAATTACTGTCAGTGCTATGAACGTCGGCCTTGCCCTCGTCTTGCTTTGGAGATATGGCCATCTCGTCTGTCTCAGCCTGAGGCCTCTCAACACTGGCATATAAAGACTGTGACAGGGAATGCGGAATCGTTGCTCCAAGAGCTTGAAAGGCCGAGAAAGCAGCTATTCGCACCTCTTCTGCTCGATCCAGGACAATTCTCCTTGGTCCGTTTCTTATTTTCTTTGCTGCTGCAGCGTACATCCACTGCTGCTTACCAGCATCTATTACAAAAAGCTTGCCAGTAAAAGCATATAAGAGAAGCCAACCTGCATGTTCTTTGAATGAAGAATCACGCAGCGCGTTTGCAAGTTCAGGAATTGTAGCCTCAGCTACAGCTTCAACTGTTCGTAAGCCCGCTTTGTATAAACATCTAGCTCGTGCAGCCTGTGAAAACATAAAACAAAGGTAAAACAATCGAGACCCTCAAAGACAACCTGCATCCGCATAATTAAAATTGGTCATTGCCAGCAAAAACGAGCGAGAACGTACCAAGCATTCTTCCGGGCCGAGCGAACTGCCAAACGCTGCTTTTCCTAATGGACTTATTTTGTAGATCTGTAACTCCTGATCCCACTCTATCAGTCGCTTGTGGCACAGAAAAGAATCTTGAGCACGTCATCAAAAGGCTGTGTAGAGTTGAGAAGGGTGCAGAGCGGTTGACATCCCGTGCCCACCTCCAAAACGAGCTCTCATCATTCCATTCTTTTCCTCAGCGAGACATGACTGCAACGGTTGACAACCTTCTTTCAGAATGGGAAGCTCCTCACTTTTACAGATTAATATCTGCAAAACCAACATTCGGCAAATTTCAGAATACATAAACGAGACAAGTCTTACACTCTCGCCATGCGTGTCTATCCCTGCTCTTCCTGCTCTCCCAGCCATTTGCCTGTATCTCGTCGGCCAGTGGTTTCGCAGGCATGACGACTTGAACAAAACAAAAGCACAGAATGGCCTTACTAACCACCTAGACAACAAAGAGCACAAACTGAAATCAGTAAGACCTATGAAAGGTCTTTGTCAAAACACAAAAGTAACCTCATGCCACAGATGGACGATGTGATCTGGATCCTTGCCGCTAAGTTCAGAGCCTGCTTTTAGAGCACGAACAGTATTCATACTAGTATCGTAAATGACTTTAATGTGTTCGTCTAAAGGAACCGGGCGAAAGTTAGTCTCATAAAATGCAGCCTGCAAATTATCATCATGGTCTGTAAGACTTGAATAAAAGATTGCAATACCTGAAGCCATGATGCAACGGCTGCTACATTAGGCATCGCTGCACTCATTCCTATAATTTGCAACCTCGTGGGGCTGCTGCTTTCATAGTCACCTTTACCGGCCCCATATCGTAGCTTAGTTCTAGCAAATAACCTCTCTCTTTATCTCCAACCTGCACCAGACTGTTATAAGAAAGATATTGGGAAGTCAGTATACATACCATATGAACCTCATCTATAACTACGACTGCTAGTTCGGACAGCCGCCCGTCCGAGTGAGTTCTGGTACGAACTGCAAGTGAAGTATCTGGAGGTAGCGCTTTACTCCCGTGAGTCCCAAAATATCCACGGACACAACATGTTCCAGTACCGCCTCTAAATGCTCTGTCTAGCAAAGTCAAAACCAGTTGATGTTTCGACAAAACAAAACCAAGCATACCTTCTCAGAACACAATGCGACATATGGTAAAACCAGCATTGCCATTTTCCCTGTCGCCACCACTCTTTTTAACATCAAAATTTCTGCAACAAGACTCTTTCCTGCACTGTCAAAAACTTTTAAGGATTACCATAAAAGAAAACTAAATAACAAATCTCAAGCACCTTGTCGAGGCACAGTAAACAAGACTTTTACCATCCAAAACTCCATCAAGGCGTAGACAATCAACCTGTAGTTTCTTGTAAGTAGGCACTAAAATCACAAACAGTTGGCTTACCTGCCATTGATACAGTCTTCTAACCCCTTTCTGAAAGTATCCTTCACATAATTCAGCCGGAAGCCAATCGGACAACTTCTCACCGGAGACTGAGGACGACGGATCGTTCACGATTGCCTTTCCTTCTTCAGTGGGAGCTGCAGCAGCTTCTTTGCCAACGTTGTCATGACTCGCAAAGTCGAAGCACACGACCGGTAGCGGAGAGTTCAATAAATTCGGGCCGTCAGGGTTGATACGCGACTTAACTTCCGAGGAGTCACCCTTCTTGCTCCCAAGGACGCGTATTGCCTCGTCCCAAAAGCTATCTCCTGGTGATACATACTTCTTGTCGAGTAGCCAGTTCGGAGTGGGATCGCCGCCATTTCCAGCGCTTGCATGAGGCGTGCATGGTAGCTTCTTCGCACTGTGCTGAAAGGGCGGTAATTTTCTGTCAGCCACTTCAACCATTTCAGCCGTCGTTGCACCGAGAGGAATCGCCATCTCGTCTCTCAAAGCTTTGCTTTGGAGAGACGTCCATCTTCTCGCTCTTCTCTTGCAAAACATCTCTAGAGGTAGCTGCTACCTTTTTTGTCGGGGAAACACCACTGAAACCAAACACAGGCATCAGCAAAAAAGAATGAAAGAAAAAAGATCATCGTCACTTACTGGAGACAGATCGCCAGGATTTCTTCTCGTTTTCTTTCTTGTCCCTCTAACAATGCACTGAAAGTAGTGAGCTTAAGCAGCATTAGGTGTACAGCCCCGACGTTGCATGTCCTCTAAGAGATCCAAGGCCACCTGGCCTTCACCGTTTCCAGCGTAGCCCAGCACCAGCGCCGTCCAGGACACGACATCGTGCAGTGGCATCTTGTCAAAAACTCTGCGAGCGTCTGCCGAGCTCCCACATTTGACGTAGAAATCCACCAGCGTGTTTGCGACCAAATACTCCAACTCGAGACCACCTTTAGCAGCTTCGGCGTGTATAGCCATTCCTCTCTCCAGTGAGCGAACTTTTCCTTCACGTTTCCCCGAAAGTCGCACAGCCTCCTCTTTCGATGCCACACTTGTGCAAGCTGAAGCTGAAGCTGGATTCGTTGCCCATCAAGACATAAAGATCGAAACTAATAACACCAATGCTTAGGAGAGGGTACACATCTCCAAGATGATCAAAGCCAGGCTTGAGAACCAGGTAGATCTACACACTCGATGCAAGTCAGTAGACAACACCAAACTACATAAGAAAACCTTTGCTTTGACAATGTGCGTCGGTGCGTCTTTGAGGCAGTCAGCAGCGATTCCTCCATAAGCTCCAACGAAAGCTTCGTTCCACCAAAGTACCTGGATTTCCAATTAGTTTTTGTTCTTTCGTTTGGAAAAACGATGATAGGTACCTCGTGACAACGACCATAACTCCATCCACACCAGAATTTCCTCTGGCAGCCTAGATTGGCCGTCCTGCCGTTCCTCCAGGCTCTCCACCATTGCTAAAACAATAGCGTTCTTTGATCTCAGCTGGAATAAAATGAAACATTCAAGCAAAGAAGGCGAAATAAATGAACCACCTTGTAAGCCCAGCACTCGTGAGTTGCCCGTGGATCCAAGACCTTGCAAACAAAGGAATGAGCTAAGATCGCGATTTTCTTCTTTGCAAACTAGAGCTGGGAGAGAAATGCCAATGCGCCTTGTTCTATTGTCCAGAGCGGCTGTGGCGATGAACTTACTTCGTTTCATCTCGCACTGCGAGGACGAGATTGCTGTGTATGCCGATGCTGCGCCATCGCTCCAAGATTTCGCTCCTCCCTGGCAACTGAAATGCATATACATTGGTGCCAGCGCTGCCGTCCTTCCATCGATTGGCGATTTAGCAAACATCGCTCCCAGCTATAAAAACCCTAGATGAGGAATCCAAGCACAAGCGGATAGAAAAAAAAAAAAAAAAACAAATACTTCCATGTTTGTTGTAAAATTTATTAATCATCCTTCTATATTTAAAAGAGCAAAACATATTCAATTGAGATTCTTTTCCTGGTTGATGAGAGCAGCGAACGTGCAACTGCGGTGAAATGCTGAATTACATAAGCACTCCTGGAAAAAATGCTTCGAAAAAATAGGTTTACCATCGAAAAAATTGGTTTACCCTAAAAAAAAAAAAACATTCCACTGTTTTTCCCATATGTCTTCATCTCCACCATTAAGCCTGAAAAGAATCTCAATTGAATATGTCGCCCTTGCTCTTTTAAATGTAGAAGGATGACAAGGACTTGGATGGTATCTATGTGAGCAAGAAGGGGACGATCGCAGTGGAAGAGTAGCTTATGGTACGAGGACGATGTTTTGTTTTTTTTTTTAGAAGCCATTGATTGATTAAATTAAATATCTAGAAAAGGAGTGCTTATGTAATTTAGCATTTCACCGCGGTTGCACGCCATGAGGTCGCTGCTCTCATCAACCAGGTATGAGGTGAGTTTTTCAGATCTACCTTGTGGTGATGTTTCTTCTTTTTTTGCTGCCAGAAATGCCATGTGAAGAATAAGGACTTGGATGGTATCTACGTGAGCAAGAAGGGGATGATTGCAGTGGAAGAGTAGCATATGGTATGAGGATGTGTTTTCTCTTATGTTTTGTTTTTTTTGGAAGCCAAACGAGGACTGATTGATTAAATTAAATATCTAGAAAAGGAGCGCTTATGTAATTCAGCATTTCACCATGGTTGCACACCATGAGGTTCGCTGCTCTCATCAACCAGGTATGAGGTGAGTTTTTCAGATCTACCTTGTGGTGATGTTTCTTCTTTTTTTGCTGCCAGAAATGCCATGTGAAGAATAAGGACTTGGATGGTATCTATGTGAGCAAGAAGGGGTTGCACGCCATGAGGTTCACTGCTCTCATCAACCAGGTATGAGATGAGTTTTTCAGATCTATCTTGTGGTGATGTTTCTTCTTTTTTTAGGTTCGCTGCTCTCATCAACCAGGTATGAGGTGAGTTTTTCAGATCTAGCTTCTGGTGATGTTTCTTTTTTTTTTGCTGCCAAAAATGCCATGTGAAGAATAAGGACTTGGATGGTATCTACATGAGCAAGAAGGGACAATTGCAGTGGAAGAGTAGCTTATGGTATGAGGACATGTTTTCTCTTATGTTTTTTTTTTTTTGGAAGCCAAACGAGGACTGATTGATTAAATTAAATGTCTAGAAAACTTTCTTATAGATTCGTTCCAATACTTGAGAAAAGATCTAACTACTCTTAAGAACCGAGGCCCCTTGGCCGGAGCTAGAGCAGCAGTTTGTTGCTTGGCAGTTCCACCACCTGCTTGAAGTACTTGACCGGTATGGAGCCACTGCTGAAGATCAAGCCATTCTCTGACATGTAGAACTCGATGCTCCTGTCCTTGCAAGCTTTCTGGAAGTTAACAGTGATGAGAACCTTGGTGGAGTTGCACATGCTACTCACGATCTTCGCATCCAGCACTGCCATCACCAGATACATTGGGTTCGAGCTCGGAGCCATGCGGCCATTCTTCATGATCTCCTCCAGTTCCTGTTTGGATGTGTTGTAGACACAAACTAGGGACTTCTCGATCTTTTGGAACAGCTGCTACAGATTTGCGAAGCACAAGGGCAAAACATGAAGACTTTCAGAAGCAAGTTGTAAGAATCTCATGACTCCATTTTACAATGATTTGCATATCTCCATTTTTTTGGTTTCAAAGAGATTATTGGTAGAATATTTTTTATTTACATGTCATTATGTAAAATCTTAAATTCAATAATGTTTGGTAAAATCTTGGTTATGATAGTTTATTTGTGTTAATATTATGTAAGAGCACTATGATACAGCTGATTTTTATGTTTAGCTTATGTGAAGGCATTCCAGACGGTGTTACCAATTTTAAGAGGATAGTCAAGCATCTTCTCATTTGATTCTGTCTCTGCAGTATCAATGCTCTTGTATGTTCTTGTTGCTCATTCTTGAAAGGATTTAGTCATTTACTTATAAAGAGATTGATATAAGTTTCAAGAGCTGAGTTTTCCAGTTTTCTGTTTTATCAAGATATTCTATCAAGAGCTCAATCATTATTAAAAAGTTATGAAGTCATGCTCTGTCCAAGTTATGAATGTACAATGAACTTATTATCTTGAAACTTATATCAATTGATAGATAGTATGTTTGAACAACATATAGAGACAAGCAACTTAAGCCTATTTCGAAAGGCTATTCTCACAACTTAAAATGACCTCTCTTTACAAGTAAATGACTAAATCCTTTCAAGAATGAGCAACAAGAACATACAAGAGCATTGATACTGTAGAGACAAAATCAAATGAGAAGATGCTTGACTATCCTCTTAAACTTGGTAACACCGTCTGGAATGCCTTCACATAAGCTAAACATAAAAATCAGCTGTTCATAACGCTCTTACTTAATATTAACACAAATAAAATATCATAACCAAGGTTTTACCAAACATTATTGAAGTTAAGATTTTACATAATGATATGTAAATAAATAAAAAATTCTACCAATAATCTCTTTGAAACCAAAAAAATGGAGATATGCAAATCATTGTAAAATGGTAGTAGTTCTCTATAAAGCTTGCATTTTCTATTACAATTTACAAATCCTAAAGACAAACACTATACAATATAAAGATATTATTTCCAAGACAAGTTTTCAACCATGGTCAACTTTATGTTGCACTCTTAAAGGGAACATCAAAGACACAAATGTCTGTAGAACAATGTGAGGGACAAGGTTTCCTGCAAAATAAAATTGTGTACACAAAAAACATAGTCTATAAAGAAATTATTTCAAATGATAATATTAAAACACATAATTACTATCTATGCAGCAGAGCTGGATTCCTTGCTAGTTCACTGTTATTTTAGTTCAATGTTAGGACACTAAGAGGACAATAGGCCATATCCTAATAAGGTTTGGGCATGCTTTTTCACGGAGTGCTATTTATTTTAACCCTTCTCAAGAAGAATGGCAGTGCTTGATGTGACACAATTATTATGATGTATATATTGTGCATATGGTGCACTTTAGGCTGTTCTATGCAAATGGGCATGCCATTGCTTATGAGATTGTAAGTTTAATGATGGTGAGAAGAGGTATTTAAATTTTGAGCAGGAGTTACTTGCTATTGTGCATGTTACATAAGGACTCTAAAATATTGGGTTGTACCCAAGTATCTTAAGAAAAACTTTCATGAATTCACTCAAACTTGACTTTTGAGTAGCTTTAAAGAGCTGCAGGTCAACCATTGACTAGTCAACATTGTACACTAATTGTGACTATTCTGCCAACCAGTCAGCAAAGACGTTGACCAATCAGTCAACAATGATAATCTGACTGTGACTAGTCAGCATGATGTTGATAAAAAAGGCTATGATTTGACTAGAGTAGTCCACAGTCCCTTTAGCGACAGAAAGCAAAGACACCGTCGTGGCCTGTTTATGACTTGGTGCTAAATAATAAAAACAAAAATGCCTAACCTCCTAAACTAAGGTATGCTTCCTCTTGAAGTTCCTCACCACCCAACCACCCCCAAGCTAAAAGCTCTACTGCACCATTGTTGCCCTTAAGATCCCTAAGTCCATACCTTAATATACTTTTGAGCTTACTTTTGATCCACATTGATTACATGGTCAAAACTGACACCTAACAATTCTTCCCCGTAACAAAAGGACTTGTTCCAAGGATCTTTCTTGAGAACTCTACTTAAGTTCTTGGTTTAACATCCATACATCAAGGAGTCACTGGGCCCTTCACTTTGAGATAGTACATCTTTGAATTGGCTAACATAAAATACTAGATGAATATTCACCCTAGCTAACAACCATACTTGATAAACCACTTTACCAATGCACTCTAACACTTCATATAAACTAACACATTTATGAGAAAGTGTATCACTCTTCCCACTCCATAAAACCACTAAGGTGTTCCATCACTCATTTGAAGGAAAGATCACTCACACAAAGATGAGATTTCCCAACTTATATTCTTAGAATTGGCAATACTCATTTGCAAACTTCTTTGCCATGTTCTAAGTTGCATGTAAATTATGTTTACACACCACCAGAATTTCATCAAGTTTTATAGCTATATTAGTTACTTTTGAATCAAGCTTCTTATGTTCAAATGCCATCCCAACCAACTCTAATGATGTTTGGGGATGCCTTGGCAAAGTAAGGACTTATCTTGGCTCCAATATGCTGACTATTATTATATATAAATTACACCAATAAAAATATAGTTTCCATTGTTTTTGGCTTTAGCCAATGCAAAGTGTAGCATATCCTCTACCACCTAATTCACACACTTGGTCTACTTAT